CTAGTTCTCTATAATGTTTATCAAGATTTATTTGTCATTTTTTTATTTGAAATTGATTTTCTCATGTTAAAATTTTGCATGACTAGTCATGTAAAATTTTTTGTTTCTCTCTCTTTCTACATTAATGATAATTGAGCCCACCTATTTAATGCATTGGAAGAGAGAGATAGACACAAAAATTTCATGACCAGATCATGAGAAATTTTAACATGATAGTATCAACTCATCTTTTATTAGTGGTTACTAGAACTTATGTTTATATTTCAATTCATCATCTGTTTAAAAAATTAAATTATAGTGCATTTTTTTTCTATGACATTGTTTTTTTTTTTGTGGTGATTTTCTACATAAATTTCTGAATAAATTATCATCCTCTTCCCGAAAAGATATATATGTCCTACACTTCATTTCATTTTAATGTGAACAAGTTTTTTAGTAGTGAGTTTTCTTCTTTTGCGATTCCAAGCAACATTAATGGATGGTTTTGAGCCTTTATCATCTATTCTGAGACTTTAAAATATGAAATTATGATTTTGGACGAAGTCTCAAAACTTATACCATAGTTGTTCGTAATGAGAAAAAAGAGATGTTCGTAAGAGACTCATTCATAGTTGTTCATCATCACTAAAAGGATCCTTTGCGTCAAAATAAATTAAATATAGTAATATTCTCATCTCTCAGTTAATGGAAATGTAAATTTTCATCCAGGATTATAATTTAAACTTCTCTTCAGAAAAGAGAGTAAAATTTACCTTAAAGAAAATATATATGAAAATAAATAAATTATAAAGAACAAAAAAATTATTCTTTTTTAGCTACAACTTTTTTTGTTCTTATTATAGTATACGTGATACGGCCCAATAAGTCAAAAAGTGGGCCCTAAACTTAGTAGTAATGATAAAGACGAACCTCTTTGGGTAGGGCCCATCTTGGGCTAGGGATAATAGAAGTACGTGGACAGGTGGGTTACATTAGTGGGTCCCTTACCACGAGGTGAAGCAATGGATACTGTACTTCTCTCTCTAGTCTCAACACGCCACAGTGAAGTTGTTGCTGCTTTAACTATGTTAGCTCGTCATTTAAACAATCTTTTTTAATATAGTATTATTGAATCTTAAAATATGAATTTTATTTCTTAAATTTTCATTTTCTTACTATTTTGAAAAAAAAATTATTTCATTTACAATTACAAAATGTATAGAAGTGACCCATTAACAAGAAAAGAAATCTTCAAAACTCAACTCTGGTTATAAGAATAGAAGTTAAATTAAGATGCAAAAAATGTTAATTATAAGTTACTTTATTATCTGGATCATTTTTATGCGGGATTACATGCCTAATCAGTAAAGAGCTAAAAAATCGTTGCTTCCAAGAGAAGGAAACATGGTAATATCACGTATCATGACAATCCCGCAATCTTCTGAAACATGACATGAGCTGCTTAGTCAATTACGATCATATGATATCAGCTATTTAGAACACTACCACCTCACTCATAGCCAATGGCTAGAGGATAGACAAGTTCTTACAACTACAACTAGTAGGAGTGAAAATGTAGCGCTCCCAGCCCATTGGTCCTTTAAGATAGAAAAAAGTAGAGAGAGAAAGAGGAGAAAGAGAAGAAAAAAAAAAAACGGACCATGGAATAAAATTTCATCTAATAGGCCTTAGCCTGATTTTAAGCATCTTACATATGGGATAGTGTGTAAAAACTATTTCTCCCCACCAATAGAAATGAATATTTTCATATTAAGACGGCACAACCAAAATGATATCTACTATATATATATATATATATAGAGAGAGTTATTAAACTCAAGTATGAAGATCTTCCCAATCCATACTTGACCATATTGAATATTTATTGACTTGAGTATCGGAGTATCTTGCAAATATCTCCCCAAATTACAACAAACAATCATACCAGCCGAAACATCTCACACCACATCCCACCCGCCGGAAGCACATATCACAGCAATTCATCACATAGCAACAATCCCAGTCAAAGACCAAGTCCATAAATATTGTAATTTATGGATTGATCAATAATAAAATTGTATAAAATAATAATAAAATTAATCCATAAGTCCATAATCATTGCAGTATCAACCGTGATCTAGTCTAATAGTTATTGGATTAATCACTTTATATTTGAAGTAAATAATAAAATTGTATAAAAAAACAAGATGGTAATAAAAATTGTATCAGTGTAAAGAAATACTGGGGCGGTTTTTTCTCTCTCTATTTCTTTACTCCGTAACAGTTGATTTAGAATTATCTAACGATATTAATCAAATACATAATAAAAGTGATAAGAAGCTGTTAGGATTGATCTAATAATAAGGGATTTGAGCATATTGTATTAAATTTTGTATTTAATTCTTACTATTGTATCCAAAAATAATAATAAAAATGATAAATTTACAATTATGTGTAGGTAGATATATTTTTAAAAGGATTAGATATTTTGCCTATATTCTTTTCTTACCTTCTTTATATATTTTTTTATCTACTTTATTTACTCGTCTCTAACACCGCTAATCATAAGAGGAAGGGAAAATGTAAAAGTTACTTAAGATTCTAATATAAAATTATTGAAAATGAGCAGATAAAATAAGAAAATATTTTCAGTATGTCAAAATTTACTTAACATTCGATATATCTTTTACTAAATATATAAAAAAAAATTAAAACTCGACATTGTATAGAAACAAAGAGAATTATTTTCTTACGTTGCATAAGAAGAAAATAATTTTACTACAGTAACAAAAAAAAAAAAAGTGAGAATAAAGAAGATAATTTTTTTTTAAAGTATACGTAGAAAAACTATGTTTTTTTTTTTTTTTGAGTTACCCAACCCTAATTACCTTTTTGAGGCGAGTTGGCTCCCTCCGGTATCCCCACGAACTTCGACTCTTTGAGCTGGCTATGGGACTAATCCGGAGTGCAGAGGAGCAGTGATAGCTAAAGATTCAGCCCCCTCACCAAAAATGCATTTGAAAAACTATGTTTTCTTATGCAACATCAATCCCCAAAAACAAATAAACAAAAACCCTGTACGACATAATGACCGCGAGGACATGTTCATGTACTGCTGTGCAGGAGTTTAAAGAAGAAAATAAAGCAGGTTCGTTGACCTAAGTTTTAAGTTTAGATTGCCTACGATGTTTTGTTTTTTATTTTATTTTAGTCATTGCTGGATTTTCCCTCGAAAGAATTGTAATTAAAGACTCATCTGTAATTATTTCTAATTATGTTTTTTTTTTTTACTAGATTATAAAAAAAATTGTAGAAAATATGGTACTTATTGTGTAATTGAATTTTTACATTATTTATTTATATATATATATATATATATATAGGGTTTTCGTTTTATCCTTTAACATAACACAACAAATTTTCCTACACTCACAACATTTTGTGGGGCCCACACTTTTTAAAATAAAAAATTAAGGCACGCAAAACGAATCTCTATAACATTACACAATCATTTTTCCTACAACATAACTCTTATAAAACCCATATATATATATAAATGGAGAAAGTTATATTTATAAATTTTTTATTTATAAACTCTTACAAACTACACTATGTTCTTCCGGGAGAACATTATATTCCCTCTGGGGTACATACTGTAATTTGCAAAAAATTGTAAAAAAAATTTGTAAACGGATCATTCTCCTATATATATATATAGGGTCAGGATCATTTTACTCCAGTGAAGTTACACTCTCAATCTTGTTCGTTAATCTCACTTATATTTGAGGGGTCAAATTTTTTAGTAATGTGAACCATTGGATACAAGTGGATCAATGGTCAAGATTGAGTGTAAGACTTCTATAAGAATATCCTGGCTCAGATATATATATATATATATATATATATATATATATATATATATATATAGTCTTTATTTTGTCATGTTACATGAAGGGAATTGCTATCATGCAATAGAAAAAGACTAAAAAAATAATAATAAAAAAATAGGATGAGACATTTTGTTCAATGATTTTGTTTTGTCATATCTTAAGATGATCAAATTATTTTTTCTACAACATAACTCTTATTTATTCCATATATATATATATATATATATATATATATATATAGGGAAAAGTGTGTATAATTTTGAAGGATGTAAAGTTGTGTCATATATATATATATATATATATATACATATATATATATATATGTATATATATATCCGATTATAGATCTTTGAATTTATCAACAACTAATAGCTTTTGTGTCCGTTTCCTCGTTTTCTGAATTCTGATACAGTGCGAGAGTCAGGACAAAAGACCTCCGATCAGCTAAGAAAGGATTGAAATTAAAAGACAAAATCAATCCGTTTAATGACAATTGAGAGAGAGAGAGAGAGAGAGAGAGAGAGCATTTAAAATAAAATTGTAAAGGTGACACTGAAAATGCAAGCAATGTTTTAGGATTTTGTTAAGTTGTTCTTTAAACTTTAAAGCATAGTCGCACAAGTAGGTTAAAATCTGTTTTTCACTTATACATAATAATATTATTTTTATTTTTTTGATAAACCATAATAATATTATTTTTAGTTTTATTATATAAAACAATTTTTTTAATTTTATTTTTGTTGTTATCAGATTAAAAATAATTGACACATATAAGAAATAAAAATATACTATTTTAAATATTTATATATGATATATTTTTTGTCTTTATATAGGACACTCATTTAATTCGTTTATTTTATTATATTATATTATAAGTCTAATAATCAAGCTAAAAATAAATGACGTATAGAAGCAAAATTGAAAACTTTTATAGTTGAAGTACAATTTGAAAATGAACAGGAAATGTAGAGGACAAAACTATGTTTTATTTTTTTGTTAGTACAAAACTATATTTTAACTTATAAAGCAATAACGTTTGATTTTCATGCACACGACACCCTTGCTTCTCCTTCATTAACACTTAACTGGCATATGAATCCAAACACGACTCTCTCTCTCTCTCTCTTCACCTTTGCTTAAATCCTCTTTACAAAGCTACAGACTTTGGAGGATTAAAACTGAAAAAAGAGCAAAGAATTAGTGATGGCGAGGAAGAAGCTGAAGTTGCACTTTCTGGGTAACAAAAACCAAACCAAACTTAGGAGTTCAATTTTGTGATGATGCGTTTTTTCATGGGGAGCATAAAAAACCACAGTGAATAGCAGATCAAGTTCCACGATCAACGACAAAGCTGCAGCTATTAATCACATGTCTTGCACAAATCTTTCTTATTCAAAACAATTGAGGACCCAATTCAGTTTATATACCTGACTCTTTCAGATTACCTTCTTTATTTTTTTTTGTCGTTGTTGTTGTTGTTGTTTCTGTTTTTTGCGTGCGTGTGTGAAACAAGTACAGAAACATTCCCAGTACGCTAGGATTCTCTTTGTTAGAGCCAGAAAAGGACCTTGAATCTGTATCAATCAAAGTGGTTTGTTTATAATATCACTCTAGCTATTTTGGGTGAGTTTTTTTACTTTTTAATAACACATCATATATATATATATATCTCTCTCTCTCTATATATATTTCTGCATCGTTCTAGTATTAAATTTTTACACCTTTTTCTAGTTTTTGAATTCCAATTTTCCTTATTGGTATCACAGAAGAAGGGACTTATGCTGCTGAGGAACAGATCAAGAGCAGTGACAAAGCCACCTTTGATGGCTGATCATAGTTCCCAGCCATCTCCAAATCAAAATTACGCTAGAACTATCCCTTCTCTATTTGGTTCACCAAAATTTAGAGATTTCACCAACAAGTGTTTCTCAGGAACTGAGGCTTTGAGAAGCCCAACTTCAATTCTTGACACCAGAGCGTTATCCCCTTCTGGCTTTGCAAATCCATTGTCATCTGAAAACAAGACACAAACTGTTCCCATGAAAATCTCCTCAGAAAACACAAGCTCTTGGGACAAGCCAGATTCAAAAGGCATTGTTGGCCTTGCTCTTGTGGGTGCCCTTAAAGATGACCCAATTCATGACAATTCTGCTCAACCCAACAAAAGAAATGTCCTCTTTGGAACGCAGCTTAGAGTGAAAATCCCACCTCTGCCACCTTCTACATTTTCTCCATTCGAGTCTGAACCATGTGTTGATGATTTTGGAACCAAAAACAAGGACTCGCAGAATTCATCAGGAACTAATTATACAAAGGATTCTCCAAGTGTAGTTGTTACAGGCGTTCTGTCTTTGAGTGAGATGGAGCTTTCTGAGGAATATACATGCGTCATATCCCATGGACCTAATCCAAGAACAACCCATATATTCAATAATTGTATTGTGGAGAGCTATTTTTCACTGCCCCAAAACTCTCTCTGTGAATCTGCAAATTTCCTCAGCTTCTGTTACACTTGCAAGAAACATCTTGAGCAGACAAAGGACATCTTTATTTATAGGTAACCATCATTTCCTCCTTTTCAATGCTAACAACCTTTGCCCTTTGCATTATGGATATTTTATTTTTAGCCTTCTTTGTGACTTCCTCAAACACAAGATAACAACAAAAACTTAAAGCACTGCATGTTCTATTTATCACCATCCCAACATGAACACTACTTTTTCTGATTTATTTATTTACTTACTTATTTTAGATTAATTCAGTTAAGCAAACTTCAGGGGTAATGAATTATCTTGTGTTTTGCAGAGGAGAGAAAGCTTTCTGCAGTAGCGAATGCCGCCACCGAGAAATGGTGTTAGATAGTGTAGAAAGTTTAGAATCTGAACGTAATGGTTATTCTTGACTATTAACATCCTTTCCCTTTAAGTGCTTTACATGCACCGTGGCTGCAAAAGTCCTTCATTTTGAGGAAGATAACAAGCAACACAGAAAGTCAAATCAAAATCTTACATTCTTCATCATGACTCTGTTGTATTTAATTGAACTTGTTAAGGTCTTCTTCTTTTTTTCCTTTTTGAAGTCTTTTGTTTTGTTTTGCCTTTTTTTTTTTTTTTTTTTTTCCTTCTCTCCTTGCAAATAGAGATAAGAGAGGAAGTAGAGTTCATTCCAAGAGATGACTAATTTGATTGCTTCTAGTTTTCTCCCCACCATTGTTTTCGGTTGAAGCAGATGATGATGTGCGATTGAAAACAGTGGCTTTTGTTTTTCTTCTTTTCTTCTGAGTTAATGATAATGATGGTGCTTCCTATTGTCATAGATGGGGACCAGTTAATTATTTCTCACAAAGATTCCCTATCTGCATGTACTCTATTATTATTATCCTTACCCTTACCCTTACCCTTTGCAATTCACCCCTAGCTTGAGAAAGAATTCAGCAAACCATTATAATACTCTATAAAACTGACAATGACAGATAAATATACATTTGATAAAAGTCCTTTTCCTTACCCAATACTTCATTATCTAATTATTTGAATATTAGGTTGCTCTTAGAAACTTTGATACGTATAATAGAGAGAATCCCAAGATTTCAAACTTGGTGTTAAAAAGCAGTTTCTGATTAATTAAATAACCAAAATTCTTATTCCACATCCTAACACCTTAGTCCTGATCCATTATAGTAATGCCAACAACAACTGTGTTCTGATCAGGCAAAGGCAACAAAAAGGTATAAAATAACCGGTGTCATTATTAAAGGAACAAACAGAAGTAATTGGGCTTGAAAAGCCTAGAGAGTTATAGTAAAGGTGTCTGTACCATGATAAGCCTTAAAGCGCTCCCTTTCTCTCTTTCACAAATTTGGTCGCAATAAATAATTAAATCATCGGCTTTGCACAATTCTAGTAACTATAGTTTTGAGGCAAGTGGGGATCAGATATCCCAATTACCATTATTTAAGATAAATGACTTACGAATTAGGGATGTTTGTTTGTGTTTTTTTAAAGGAAAAAGTAATGATAATTAGATAAATTTTAAAAAAATACAAGATTTTAAAAAATTAATTTAGTCTTTTCTGAGTTTCTCAAAAGATAAAAAAAAAATAGTTAATAAAAAAGATAAAAAAAAATATCATAAAAATTTAAGTTTAATATTTTTCTTGCAAGTTTAGGATAAATTTATCTTCTATAAATATAAAAAATTGGTGAAATTCTATAAAGAGAAGAGAGGAAGAAAAAGGGAACCTTACCCACATCCACTCCCATATATATATATATATAGTTTCTCAAGTTACTTGAGATAATTTTATCTCCGGTCACTAAATCATAATTGTACAAAGATGGATCAATTGCGATAAAGGAATGAGAGAAAAAAGAAATCATAACCATTCAAGATGGATCAATGACGATAAAAGAAAAAAGAAAGAAAAAAAAGAATCATAATCATTCAAAGTGAATCAATTAATTTAAGAAAATAAATAAATAAAACGACATAGTTTTCGGGGTGACTTGAGAAATATTTTTCTCATATATATATATGAGACATGATCATTTGACATCAATATCAAATTAAAAATTTTGACATCAAATCTTAACTATTAATTTCTTCCAATTTAACTGTTATAATTTATTGAAAATTAATAGATGTGACCTAATAAATTATAAATGTTAGATTAATAAAATCAACAATTAAGATTTGATATTAATTTTTTAGTTTGACGTTGATGTCAAAGGATCATATATATATATATATATATATATATATATAATTTAATTTCAAACCTGCATGAGAAAGTATTTCTTTTTCAAACCTATATAAAAGAGAATTTTATTTCAAACCTGCATGAGAAAGTATTTCTTTTTCAAACCTTATCCAAATACCTTTTTTTTTGTCCCCCTTCATTAAGCCATAGAAGTACTTATGGAAAATTTAGATTTGGTTGGCTCTTAGGGCGTGTTTGTTTTTAATATTTGAATGCAAATGAAAAAAAAAAAAAAAAAAAATTTAATTTCAAGGCAATTTTTTTGTTTTCTGAGAAGGAAATGAATTTTTCTTTCCAATCAGTGGCCGTTTGCATTGAGTAGAATCTAATACAAACATGCTCCTAGTCATTCCTTCATCTAAGGCAGGGAAATAAAACAGAACTTGTGTAGATGATTAGTGGAATGCTACCCGACCACAATTTATCACTTGTATCCTACAATGAAAGCAAATGGCAAACAAGAACGGGTGATTTTCTTGGAGAAACCGAGGAACAACATATGTAAACCAGCAACAACCTTAAATTGGTAAGTCTAGTGGCTGCCCGATGAACCATATTTAACAAGAGAAATTGACGTCTAGAAATGGAGGGTGCAGTTGGGTTAAAACTGAAGAACACAACGGAGTTGGGACCCAAAGAACCAAAAAGTGCGCGTGCTGATAACTGATAAGATGCTCAGTGAATGATAATAAAGAACAAACAAAAGGAACCTTAAAGATTGTGACTCCTTTGGCATCTTTCAGTGTTCTGACAGGTGAGAAATGTACACCTTTCAGATATCTACGCAAAGAAGATAATCTCGAGCGCTACCCATTTCATCAAAGGGAAAGTAAAATGATTGCTATGCAACAAAACTCACTCCCCTTTAAATTATGAGTATGTAACAGAACTATAAGATAAGTGCTTAGGGAATAATGTGACATGCATGTATAAATACAAATACGTGTAATATTATTATTTGAAGTGATTGGATATTTTTATATAATAAAAAGTCTTACACCAAATATTGATGATTGATTTACTTGTATTTAATGACTCAAATATCTAATAAATAAGAATCATTAAATATAAATAATATCAAGGAAAGATTGAAAGTATAACTTGTATGTAATTTTTTAACTTGTATCATAACTTATATCTAAAGTAATATATCTAATCAACACCAACACCAACACCATCTAGGGAGGGGCATAAGTACCGTAATTCTTGGACTCGCACCCGAACTCTGAATTAGTCCCATAAGCGGCTCAAAGAGTCGAACCCGTAGAGATACCGGAGGTTCTGATTCGCCTCAAAAAGTAATTATAATTAATTTCTAAAAAAATATATATATCTAATCTAATGCTATCACCAGTCAATGGGTCCCAATAAACGGGGACAATGACCAAAACGGGACGTATCGGTAAATAAATTATCACAATGCCAAGTTTGAAACTTTTTTCCAATCTATCGTGGATAAAATGGAAGATATTTTCCTACGGAAGAGTCTCGCGGTCAAGATATTGCAGCAGTTATCTTGCTAGGGCCGCCAACAGCACAAACGGAAAGTAAAATCATGGTCCAAAGATTTTTGTTTGTTTTTCCTTATTAACTGTTAAAAAAAAATTATTTCAAAATTTAATTGAGTTTCAAAAGTTTTTTGATAAATTATGCCCTAAACATTACTAAATATGTGTACAATTATTTAAACTGGAAAAAAAAACATAGACAAACATTTTAACACAACAGTTTGATAGAAAATAAAATCGATATCCCAAAGTTTTTTTGGCATGAAATGATAGATGAAAATATTTCCATTTATTAGTGGATAAATCTTATTTTCATCACGAAGTCATTTTAGCGATTTCATCATCGCTAACGCCATTCATGTAATAATGATAAGCATTGACATGGTTCCCACGTAGATAGATTACGTTACAAAATCCCAATCTTTAAAATTTAATTAAAGCTTTAATTTAATTTTCAATTTCTTTTTCCCAATCCACTTGGCTTGTCAACAATATACTCAATCCTTACTTGGTAAAATTTGGTTGATGCAATTGCAAATAATGGACAGACACGTCACACATACTCGGGAGACGGAAAGGCAGTGTTGACTCATGGATCAACGGCTCAGATGGCGTCAAAGGGGATTGTTGTTTTGGGTTGTCGAAGGTTCGGTGAGTTACAAAACAATTATAGGGGGTCAAATGATAGGTTGTGGATGGAGCATGAGCATCTATGTAAAATGCTGTCTCAGTTAGGGGTTCATGAATTGAGTCATCTATGTGAAATGGTGCTTCAATTGGGGTGGGTTTGAAATGTTTGTGTGGGTCAATAAAGTAGCTTGCTGGCTCCGTATATATAGCTGAGATTATGATAACGTCTCCTATTTTTTATGTTGAATTTGGATGGAGCGTAATGTTGTTAATTGAGTTAGAGGATATAAAGATGTTAAGTACTCTGATTTTTTAGAATTTTAAATTCCTAGATCAAGTATGGCTAGAAACCGAGAGTGCAAAGGATGAGTTTCTATTTTGAGGTATATATCCTGAGTGATTCATGTGTTAGCTTAGGGAATTTAATATGGTGGCTATAATTTTTAATTTGAGAGGTGATGTATTTTTTATGGGACACAACCTTTGACTCATTTTTTTTTGGTTGAAATATTTCAATCAATTATCACTTCGCGATTAGTCCAATTCAAGACAGATCCCAAGATTAAAGCCTTAAATCTCCCTAATAAACAGGGAATAATCGAACATATGGAACGCAAAACCTTTGACTCAGGTTTTTTACAATGTCAAAGATAACAAACGTTACATTTTCATTACAATAGCATTGGAGAAAAGTACCTTGAGTCACCAACTAAAATCCTTTAAAAATTTGGAAAAGAAGATGAATATACAAATAATTTTAAGGAAAAAAGAGTGTTTTCTGATGTTGTCAACCTTCAATTCACGTACAACCCTTTTTTTTACAAACGCCATTTTATCAAAGAGCTACATTATTTTCATTACGTTATCTTTCTTTCTTTTTATCTTTTTAAAGGCAATAAAACAAAATAACCACATTATCAAAGTTTTTTTTCCCCTTTTTTCAAATAAAGAATAGGAGTAAAAAAAAAAGTTCAAAACAAACACACAAGATTTTATAGAACCAACAAATATTATTATTCCAGGCAAATCTTTGGGATTGTGACAATAGCTAATAATTCAGCTATAAATTATAATAGTTCTAGGAGATAATTTCTACACCACCTTTTGTACACTGCACCAGGCAGTACTCTGTCAACAAAAAAGAAAGCAATTATCTCACTATTTCTGAATTCTAGGGGAGAAGGATAACTCTCTCACACCGGGTATGACGTATGAGAAATGAGGTGTGAGCAATCTGAATCAAGAAAAGTGGCTCCACATGACAAACTGGTATGAGAAGGTGTGGAGATATAAAATCATTCAGAACTTATAAATTAATAAAAGGAATCCAAATGATATCCAGAACAGATAATGAGTGAAATAAGTCACAGACATGGAATCTCGAAAATATCATAAACTCATGGAAAATATCCTTAAAGAACAGAGGCAGCAGACACCCATGAATTAGACAACCATGAATTAGGGAACCGGAGGCTTAGGTCAGGCATCAGACGTGAAGAAGAACCAATAAGAATAAGATATATAGAGCAAGTACTTGATTAATGTGCAAACGTTACACCAAATTTTTGATGTTCTAGAATCATTTCTGGAAATATTTCATAGCCCAAGTTCCAATGAATATTGAGACCATCAGAATTCAGTTTCAGATTATATAGCAATTATATCAACATCAGATGGAAAAAATAAAATTCCTTCATCAAAATGCAGCAAATGGTGTCATAGCTTCCAAGGAAATGCAATATAAATTAGATATGAGAATCAAGTACTTAATTCTTAACTCAGATATAACATGATATGAAAAGATAATAGTCACTACAATTTTATTTTAGCAGATCACACGAGTTCCACAAGTTACATAAATACAAAGAAAGAAACAAAGAAAAATTTACGAACCACAAGGGACTTCATGAAGAAAAACAATATAGCAATCTAACTAGCGACCGAGAAGGCAATGACCACATCTTTTGAACGAAACAGCCTCGGTAGTCGGTACAGTTTCGCCTCCCTGATTCACACATTGAAACAAATCTCATTAACTGCAACGAGTGACATGAAAAGAATATAGCAGAAGCATTAACATAAAGCAAGATCTTACCTTAATTTTGGCATTGCATGGTCAACACTCTCCATGGAGGATAAGCTAGCGAAGACTAATAAAAGAAAGTATCTTGGGCATACTAACAGAAGAGAAAGTATATTGGGCTTACTAACAGGTAGCTAACAGGAATTAACCCTAAAAACTAAAGCAGAAAGCTGAGAAAGATAATAACCGAACCCCTTCCAACTTTTCTTTGCAAAAAAAACAGAAAAGATAGCAAAGGGAAAAACTACGCCCAGGCAGAGGGCAGCTAAGAAATGAGCAATTAACAGAGAAACAAAAGACAGCTAAGAGAAGGAGAGTTACTGGGTAAGGTAGTAGTTACCAACTAGTAAACAGTAGATCATCTAGAAGACAGGAGTAGAATGATAAAAGATGATGATAAGAAACGAAAATTCAAAGGAGAAAAAAGGACAAAAGGGTTAAGCTCTAAAGAGTTTTTGTAAGAGCAAGATTCTACAATCTATAGTATGTACGAAAGCAAGAGGCCTAAATCCTTTATCAGATCAAAAGAAGCTAACCATTCTATGAGGAGATAATGCTGTGAACCACACATCATAAATTCAGGATTCAGCTTGAACATAACTAATAACTTTCTTCAGGCCCAATGAAATAAAACACACTCAACCAGGTCTATCCATGCTACTCCCACCCATTACCATCATTCCGCTTCCCAGCCATTTTCCAGCCAGCTTCCATCCATGTCACATGAGTCAGGTTGCAAACCTTGCTCCCAAAAGAGCCTTACATATACACCCATTTACCATTTACCGTCTCCACCTATAAGCTTCACCCAATTTTCAAACTCTGGAGATTGTTGACCCACCACAGCCATCAATCATCATTGCCAAGGGCACCAACACTACTCAAAGCCACACAAACTCAAACTACATAATTTATTTGGTCACTCTATATACAACTATATCTTACACTAACCCAACTTAAATAAGGGAAAAAAAGGGTTTATTTACAGGAACAGGTTGCTCCTTGAGTCTCATTCATCATCCAAGTTAAGATTGAGGATGCGACGCAAAGTCTTAGTCGCAGAATCAGCATTAACTAAGAGGTCTCTGGGAGAAGTTGAATGCTCCCTGCGAGGGGACGAGGGTGCAGACTTAGCAAGTGGATGCATTTCAATCTCAGGGCAGGAACCAGGCAAATCAAGAGACACAGTCCTCTTTGGTCGAACAGAGAATTTTGGGATAGGCAAGGAACTAGGTGGTGGTGAATTTGAGTAGGTAGGTCCAGCCCAAAGTTCTGAGAACAAAAGGGTCCCATGAGAAACACGATCACTGAAAGTTCTCTCCTTTTTACAAGCTTTGTAATTGATAGGAACTGGGGAGCTATTGGGAGTAGTTTTGCTACGGGTTTTGTTATCTGAGTTTGAGTTCCGAGGAGTTAATGGTGTTTTTGAGGAAGATGATGAAGATGGTCGTTTAGTTACAGTCACAGGTGAATCAAAAGATTTCAATGGACTTGGTAGAATACCAGATCCCGTTTGGAATGTCCTGCAATTAATACCCCTAAAGTCTCTGGAAGGAGAAGAAGATCCAAATCGAGCATGGCCTTGTGACTTAGACCTGCTGTAGCATTGGTTCCTATGCTGCACGACAACAACAAGCGTCTCCATTGTTAACACAAACAGAATCAATAATTTAAGGCTGTATTCTACACTAGATCCCACTTCTACAACCCAGTATAAGGTTATCAGAAAACCAGAAACGTTGTCGTGTCACACGGTTACCAAACCAAATCTCCTTCCAAATCGAGCCAAACTGAACATGTAGTTCTTCCAGAAGTCGTTGATTATAACATCCAGGTTGTTCACTGATTCAGATCAACCAGATCTTCTCAGAAACTCGTTTAAACCTACGATAAAAAAAAAAATTCCTCGTACACTGGAAAAAAAAAAGCGAACAGAATTTTTTTTTATTAAAGCCTGAACATGGAAAAAAAATAGAAATGAACACTAAAAACAGGATCAATCCGAAGAAAAATAAGAACTTGCACTTAAGGGTATCAACATTTATTTTTTCTCAACCAGTTGAGAGCGAAAAATTTACCGATTAATGCAGGAGAAAAACTTTGAAATAGTGCTGCTGCTGCTATTTTTTTCTTTTCTTCAAGCTTTGCAATAATTGAAACTGTCACAGGAAATGAAAAGAGAGGAAGAGGAAGAGGAAGAGGAAGGGGAAGAAGGGTTTGAACTTTGAAGGGATCTGAGAGGAGTGTGAGTGCAATAAATTGCAGTGCTTGGCAATTACACATTTGTACCTCCTTTTGAGACTATTTACGAAAGTGACATTTTCTTTTGGTCATTGAGTAACGGACGGATAAGTATTCGGTGTCACCATTTTGCCCCTATGTGGTGTTGCTTTGAGCGGTGATGAAAGGACTCAATAATAGTACCCCTACCATTTCTCCGCAAGGTGGGGTAGACTACCCTACCCCTCTATAAGGGTTAGTATATATATATATTGAATAATGATGAGAATAGTAATTAGTAACTGTATATATCATATTTTCTCAATGGCATATATTGTGTTTTTGTTGTATCTTTCAGTGGATTAAGAGTCCACTTTAGAGAAAGTAAAGTCCGGCATGCTAATTTTAGGAAGTTGATTACGGATTACCTAATAATTTTTGTAGGTGGAGTAGTTTATTGGCAATCGAGATTGCAAATATGTGTTGCACTTCAAAGGTCAAGATTGCAAATATGCGTTGCACTTCAAAGGTCAAGATTGCAAATATGTGTTGCACTTCAAAGGACAACGCCTGAGTTATATATAGTCACGATTGAGACAAGTAAGGGGATGATGTGGATTAAAAACTTTTTCATTGAATTCAACCATAAACAATACAAATGTGTGTTGAATTGTGACAACCAGAGTGTCATTTACAAGTCATTCACAATTCAAAATATATTGATTAGAGATCTTTTTGGACCTGACGGAATGTGTTTGAAGAAAAATAACTTATACTCGTAAAAGGATTTTTCTAATGTGCTCCAGGTCCACAATATTATTCCATGATCCTTTAGAAAAAAAGAAAAAAAAAATCATTTATATCCTTTTTTTTTGAAAATTTCATCTCAATCCATTTTTTTGGAATGGGAGCTTATGCTCCCGGAACATATTAAATGAGCTCCTCGTCAAGGTCACACAGATCTGAATTAGTTTGACAGGATGATAAAACTAATACCTTTCAAGAAATTTGAAGATTGTTGTTAAGGTGTGACAAATTCTATATATCGAAGTCGGAAAAAGAAGATTTGTTGAGATGTATTTTCCATTCAATGTTTTGAAGGCCGAGCATACAAGAGATGTATTCTTCTCATGGTTCAATGTCTAAATCATTTCTATAAATGCAACCGCTTTCCATTAATGATAAGTTTTTCAATGAAGACGAAGGGTTTTCCATGTATAAAATGGGATAAGTTTCTTTGTAAAATTTTAACTTGTTAAAGCGAATAGGAAGAGGAAACATGTTGATCGATCCATCAGAACAAATCTCTGGATCCTTCTCATCTAAATGGAATATCTGTACCTCCAGGAAGCCAAACTGATGAGAAAAGGGACCAAATCATTCACAGGACGCAGGGCCAAAACTTATATCCCGGAACTGGTTTAAATCCAAATCAAAAATGTGTTAGCAAGTAAAATTATGTTGAAGGACTAATTAATTATATGTTTGATTGAACCTTTAATTAGAACCTCAAAATCATAATTTAGGTAAATGTAACAAGTAATAAACCTTTATTTAAATTGTTATTTGTGATTTTCCAATAGCTACATCAGGCTGTAATATAATTTTAATAGTCTTGACGGATCTACATCAAGGGGGCGTTTGGTTGAAGAGAAATTTTTATGAATAATAGGAAAATGTGATGCATAGGGAAATGGTTGGAACGTGAGTTTGGTAGGAAAATGTAAAAAAAGTTGTTTGGTTTGATAAAATTTTGATGGAGAAATTAGGTAACTTTTATGAAGTCTATGTTTGGGTGTAGGTAAAATATAGATGGGAAAAATAATTGATATTACAAAAATAACCCTGTATTTAAAAAAAATTCAATTGGTCATGATGCCCTTAACCCGTTCGGGACCGTGTTTTTCATCCTCACACTGAACGAATACAAAATATATTTTGTTGAAGAGCAGAAAAAGTTACCATCACCCATGGTATAAAAAGGAGGACGCAGAACTCAAAGAAAAAAAAAAGAAGCAAGTTCTAAAGGAAAGTTGTGAAAAAATTCTGCAAGTTAGAAAATAGAAAAAGAGACAGAAGAGATGCAAGAAGAAGACACACTGTTTGCCATCATCTTGTCATCGCCGTCGAATGGCTTTGCGCTATTAGAGGTTGGAGGGGTCTTTCACCAAGGAGTAACACCCTTTTAAATCTGAATATACAAAGATTCAAGATACCTCTGCCTCTGCTAAGTCATTTGAATTCACGGGAATAGTATGAGAAATAAAAATAGGAATTTGAGATGTTGAAACTTTTTGGCAGTTTGTGATTAGGATGCAGATTTTGCAGACATCTATGTATGCCACTTGCAGACAGCTACGATTACAAAATATATCGTGTTGCCAAGCTCCTTTCGCGCGTTTAAGTGAGGATAAGCTCGTCTTTTGCATGGAATGGAGTATGACCAATTTAGGCTGCTTTTCATGAATACCATCTTGTCATTGGGTTTCTTTAGCCGGCTAAATGGAGGGAGATACATATGCAACATGGTTTGCTAGGAAACTCATTTAGGTAGGTAAGTTTGACAAATCCTTCAACCAAACATGATTAGCTTAGATGCCCATGAATCATTTCCTTATCAATCTCAACCAAATCCTTAAACCAAACACCCCTATTAATAAGGTAAGCATCCTAAAGGCGGGGAAAATATTATAATTCGAGTGTTTAAAAAAAAAAAAATCATAATTCGAGTTAAGAATGTGAGGCCAAATGCGTCAAATCAGACACGTGACAGCCCAAATAATAAGAATTTACGAGACAAGGCAGGTGGTCTTCGAAAAGAAGAGGTTACGTAGACATGCTTGGTTGAGAATTTGATCCCAATTTTCTAAGGATATGGGTTCAAATTTCTTTAGCTGATATAAGCATTTTATTTGTGGGAGGTATTTAATTTCTTTTGAAAATCTTAAAAGAAGTCGACGATACTTTAATGGAATATTAGTGTCTATCCTTATTTAAATTTTTTATATTTATAAAAAGAAAGAAGAGGTTATTATATATATATATATATATATATATATATATATATTAATAGAAAAATATTTTTTTATGTTGTAAGAGAATTATTTTTTCCTTTCAAGTGATCCTTCAATTTTCATACAGTATTTTTTTAATAAATATGGCCCTTACATAAGATGTGTTTATAGCATTAAAAAAAAATTTGCTAAAAATATTTGAACCCATATTAATATTACAGATCAGAATAAGTACTAAACATGTGATATCATATAACTATATAATTTATTGAATCAAATATTAAAAATACAATGAAATAAATTTTAAAATATTATAAAATTGATCATAGTAATATTCTAACTTTATTTTAAAAAAATTCCTCGGTGATCTTATAAAAAAGAAAAGAGAAACAAACCTGATTTATGAAATCTATAAAAACCATGACAATTAGAACAAAAAACGTTGTTAAAGAAAAAAAAAAGTACGTGAGTTTGCATTGGGCTCTGCAATTTCTTATAATTCCTTATATGTTTGGTTTAACTAAAATTTCAGAGAAAATTATTTTTAGTAAAATTATATTATAAAATAAACTTAATCAAATTTATTCTTTTATTTTGCGTAAAAAATTACCAACTGGTGTCCTGTGCTTATTTATTGCTTACGAAATTGTGGAACTAAAAATTATAAAGTGAAAAAGTAATCTAAGAAGCTGCCAAAAAGAAAAAAGTAATCTAAGAAAAGGGAATATGCCCGCCGAAAGCTGTGCCAACCGGTTCCACTTCCCAATGGAACCTTTTAATTTTCACCAGAAAGTAATTTCGAAAATAAGAACTTACTTTAAAAAAAACAAAAATACAAAAAACTTACCCACTTTTTTTTCATAACCGGAAGTATCATAGGCTCCTAGAACAACTACCTCTAATTACTTTATTTTTGGAGTAAAGCCACTAAAATTATTGGAGCAGAGAATACATTAGACCACTGTTAGAGGAGAAATGATGAGAGTTATACTCGCGAAGACGATTTCTATCTGGTGCTAAAAAAATTACTTTTATCAAATTCAACATAAATAAATAATATAATTTTATGTTTAGGGCAACATATAATATTATTTTATTTTATTTTTTTCTTAAATTATTACTTCTCTATCAATCATATAATTTATATAAATTAAAGAAAATTATTTTCTCCAACGATAAGAGATAACTATCTCATAGACATTAAAAAACGTACTGTAATTTCTTTTTCTTCAATTTGTGGGCTCCATATTTTTATTAATGTAAAAAAAAAACTTCTCTCATAATAAATGAAAAAAATATTACCCATAAATTAAACATATAAATGAAGGGGTTCAAATTTCCCCTGCAACAACAAATTTTGTTATTATCATGTAGACACAAAAATACGGTGGAACCACCTTTTTTTTTAAATAAAAAATTGAGTTGCAGAAAACCCCTTCTAGTAATAGAAGAAGTACTTTGCCCATAAATGAAACATACAAAGGGAATGATCTGTTTACAATTTTTTTTTACATATTACACTAAATATGATTGGTCATATACTTTTGATTTAAGTATAATTTGTTGGGCAAGTGGCTTCTTACACAGGACGCTTACGGAACACCTAGAGGGGGGTGAATATGTGTTCTCAACTTTTTCAAAATCTTTTTGAATTCAGTAAACAATTACACAATTTTTCTTCAATTCCTATATGCCCAAAATAGTTTTTCGCAATGCTAAGAACAATGTAGTAACATAAAGCGTACCTTAGCAATTATAGAGTATAAACGCAGCAATTATAATAGAATTAGTGTAACTGTCAGTCTCAACAGATCTCAAATTTTGAGCAAAGTAAAACAGAAAATGAGGTTAGGGTTCTTCAACCTTAGTTCCAATAAACTTGAAATAAATGCTTCCAAATGGTTGAGAACTTATCAAAGAGTAGAGAACGTGAGAGCTTTGAGAATTTTCTTGCAAACTTCTGAAGAACAAAGTTGATTACTGAGAGAAAAATGA